AAATTTTCATTAGTTTGAAAAAGTGAAAAATACGAGTAACTCTTGCTTTTTGACCCAGGCAACATCCCCATTGCCTGTATTTGTGTGATGTCCATTGTAATAAATGTATCTTTCTTTCTTTCTTCTTTCTTTCTTATTGTGTGGTTCGGCGTGCACTGTGCAGGCAAAGAGATAATGAGCTACGAGATGAAGCTGGGCTGGGGCAAGGCGGTGGTGATACCGCCCGTGCCCATCTACATCCCGCCCGCGCTGCAGCAGCCCTGCAAGCCGCCGCCGCCCTCCGGCCTGCCCTTCAACGCGCAGCCGCCCAAGCACCTCATCAACAAGGTACCCCACAATAGGCTGTAGTCTGGTCCGTGAGCGCGTAGAATTTTGTCCAATGACCCCAAGCTACCCATTCTTATCGCTCGCGCGTAATTATATTGCTGTCGCGACTGTGCGACTGGCACCCGCAGTGAGTGTGCGACTGTGACCCTTGAACTAGTGTCCGACCGAATATAGATTTTCAGCCGAAAACGGAAACGAAAACGAAGCTTCGGCTGCAGTCTCATTTTCGGCCGAAAACGAAAACGAAAATGACCTTCAACTCTCAAATTTCAATCTGAAATTATGTAAAAACTTTGAAAACCGTTAATGTTTTGACCAAAAACATAATGCGGGTGCCAGTCGCACAGTCGCGACAACAATATAATTACGCGCGAGCGATAAGGATGGGTAGATAGGGGTCATTGGACAAAATTCTACGTGCTCACGGACTGGGCTTTAGATGACAAAATTTCAATTTTATTTGTCCGTCAGACAGATTAGAAAATATTACCTTCATATATTTTATTTTCTTTCATAATTAAATAATAACAGTGCTACATCTAGTTGAAATGGCGCGTTACGTCACGCTTGAGTAGTTTTTTTTTACTCAATAGTGACGTTACGCGACATTCAAATCAATATAATACTAGGTATCTGTCTGCTATAGCTTACGGATGTATATTTGTTTGACTTTCGTCCAAAATGAGTCGAAATCAGTGATGAAATAAAATTATTGTACCTATATAATATTTTAAGTAATTAAATATTTAAATCTATTTTTTAAGATACCGCGAGTCCGTCCTGGTGACTACTATCCCAGTGACCCTGATGACCGGAAAGATTATGAACAGGTATGCTACGCCTTAATGGTGAATATATTGAATATATTGAACTGACTATAATTTTTTGTTGCAATATAGGCTATTATAAAGAGACAAGACGTCACTCACAGTGTTAAACTTGATGTGATACTTTTGTCTGTTTATTTTTTCAAATAGAGTTTTAATAATCTTCTTGCTTTGCAGATCTTATCTCAATCAATAGTCAAAGTTGTGGTGCCAACAGAAAGGTAAGAGTTATGAAATAATTTTAAATTCTTACTAGCTAAACTAGCTTTCCGCTCGCAGCTTCGCCCGCGTGGAATTTTTCGGTTTTTTTATATAACCTATGAGTATGACACTCAGCAATAATGTGGCTTTCTATTGGTGAAAGAATTTTTAAAATCGGTTCAGTAGATCCCGAGATTACCCCTTACAATTTAACAAATACACAAACTTTACCTCTTTATAATCTATACAGGGTGTCCCGTAATGTAACGTCAAGCCGGAACTGGGTATTGAGGCAAGTTGTGCTGGTTATCAGAAAAATATAAAAAAAAATCTATGTGGCATATTTTAAAAATAATAGGCATTTAAAAAAAATCTAAAAATTCTACTCCAGGTGACGGTCTTTTTGCTCGTGTTGCCACAAATCTTCACTTTTTCCAAATATTTTTTTTGTTATGTAACCCTAAATAATGCTTCTCTAAATTGTTATCAAAATTACAAAACCAGCTGCTCCAGCTTGGTTGAAAAAAATACATTATTCCCAAAAAAACTTTCAAAATAAAAATTTTGCCTAGCTTAAACTGACTGTACTGAAAAAAAAATGTACTACGCGAGTGTGGCAAGTGACGTCATAATTTGGCGCATTTAGTAAGGATTCCAAAATGGTATAACACTTGGTAAATTTTTGCTGTAATTGTCGACAATTTTTGGGTTTTTGGAAATAGTCCCGTTTTTAACTTTATCTACCTTGGTTAAAAATTATTATTCTAATGTGCCCAAAATTCAAGTTTCTGTGACTGACTACCGTACAGTCAGTCACATAAACTTTTGTCACCATGACCACAGAATAAGTAATAGTACAGGTACAACGGGACTATTCCCACCTCTCGTTCCCACCACTGCAATTCCTGTGTAGCCAGGATCTACAGCTTGACCGCCACAAAAACCCAACCAATGAAGGTCAAGTTTGTCCCGGGGGAAAGTTAAACTGTCATTGGACCCGCAACGAAATTAATCAGAAGAACATAGGAGGAGTTCGAAATTAAGGTTA